GCGAGGGGCCGGATTCGCTGGACGCCAGGTGCCCCCGGGGCAGGCGCAGGGTGGGGGGGACCTAGGCTCCGGGGAGCCGGGGTGTCCAGGGTGCGTGGATCAGACGAGCCAGAGGACCCCGGTAGATGCCTGTGAGCGCTGATGCGGGCACCCACAGGTCTTCCGTGGGGTCTCTTGCCCTCCTCCAGGTCCTGCGCTTGTCTGGGAGGGCAGGCGGGTCCCCCTCCTCTCCAGAGGGGGAAGTTTGGGGATGAATGGGTGAGGGCCTCTCTAAGCCTTCTAGGGTCCCCACCACCAGTCCTCCATCCCGGGTGATTCCCCAACCGCACAGCCTCGAGGCGCCCTTGGGTCCCCACATCCCCAGGTCCCCGGGGCGAACTCCATTACCACGCCTCTATGTGCGTCCTCTTCGGGTCCTGGGAATGAATCACCTCCGGACCCCACCCCGGGCCCAGATTCAGGAGTAGAGAAGGTAGGACCCCCCAACAGGGACTCGGGGGCCCAGAGAGAGCCCTCCCCCCATCCCCGGGCCAGCAAGGAGGGACCACGTAAGTGTCGGGCTCATTCCAGCGACTGGGGCCACCCTAATCTGAGCCCCACCCGCCTGCCTCTTCCTTTCCACTGCCTCTCTCTGGGGCTCAGCCCTAGTATCCTCTATCGCCTCCCCCAACCACCCCAGCGTCTGGGGAAGATAAGGAACCCAAACTTTTGCCCGTGACGCCCTCTGCTGCCAAGCACGGGCACTGCATCGCACTGGGCTGCGTTGCCCTGGGCTTGGGACTTTCCAGCCTCTCTTGAAAGGGACCCCTGCTTGGGACAGAGTTTCATCCCTATCCCCAATCTCCAAGCATGCAGCCTCTGTCCCCATCCAGGGCCACACCCTGCTCACTTGAGTTTTGGGTAAATCGTCCCCTCCCCCCTGGTCTGAGAGCAGTTCCCTGAGAAATCTATGGATGCACTGGGCAGAGGGGCCCCCAGCCTTGCTGGCCTGGCAGGGGCAGTACTGGGAGGAACAGTCCTCCAGAAGCACTCAGGATTGCTCTGCACTTGAGGGCAGCAGTTGGGTTATCTTCATGCAGCTATGAGTGTTGGCCCTAGTGGGACTCTTAGGCAGGTGGGTGACTGGGACAGGATCAAGACTGGCATGGAGGGAGTGACTCAAGGCTGAGGGAGTTCAGAAGGGGAGCTGGGATTATGCCTAGAAGATGGGAAGTCTGCATAGAGGAGGGGCAAAGGAGCTGGGTTTTGAAGGATGTATAGGAGTTGGGGGGGGGGTCACTGACCCTAACTGTGACTGCCTGCTTCCCAGACACCGTTCCACCTGCAGCTGGACTGGGCCAGCCCCCTGGAGACACTACTGGATGTTCTGGTGGACGTGCTGCAGGCACATGCCTGGGAGGATGTGGGCCTGGCGCTCTGCCGCATCCGTTACCCCAGCAGCCTGGTGGCCCTCTGGACAAGCCGGGCCGGCCGCGCCCCGAGGCTTGTGCTGGACCTGAGCCGGCCAGACACTGGGGATGCAGGGCTGGGGTCACGCCTGGCCATCCTGAGGACACCCGTGGGAGGGGACGCACCAGTCTCCACGGTCGTCCTACTGGGCTGTGACTCTGCTCACGCGGGCCAGGTGCTGGAGGCCGCACCTCCTGGCCCCCACTGGCTCCTGGGCACACCACTGTCCCCAGAGGCACTGCCCACAGCCACAGCCAGTCTTCCAATGGGGCTGCTGGCACTGGGTGAGGTGGCCCGGCCCCCACTGGAGGCCGCCATCCACGATGCTGTAGAGTTGGTGGCCCAGGCGCTGGGCAGTGCTGCCCAAGTACAGCCAGAACGCATGCTGCTCCCAGCCTCAGTCAGCTGTGAGAGCCCCCAGCCGGCAGGCCCAGAGTCCCAGGGGCACTTGTTGGCACGGTGAGTACAGCTCTGCCTTGGGAGGGGTGGTATAACCACTGCTGCTCTTAGGTCACAAAAGGCAACATAATAGCCAGCTGCAGTGGTGCACACCTGTCACCCCAGCTCCCTGGGAGGCTGAGGCAGGAAGATTGCAAGTTTGAGGCCAGTCTAGTTAACTCAGTGATTCAGAGAGACCCTGTCTCAAAATAAAAAATCACACTGGGCAAAGTGGCGTACACCTGTGATCCCAGCACTTGGGAGACTGAGGCAGAAGGATCGCTGTGAGTTCAAGGCCGGTCTGGACTACATAGTGAGCTCCAGGCCAGCTTGGACTACATAGTGAGAACTTGTCTCAAAAAAAAAAAAAAAAAAAAAAAAAGCAGAGCCAGGTGGCACCCTGTAAGCATGACCGCTCCTGTGTGGCCAGTCCTGGGACCATGAAGGTTCGTAGTCCAGTGACAAGACTGGGGGTGGTGGCCCTGCTGCCCGGAGGAGGGGTGATCTGGGGAACTGTGGTTCCCATTGTGGGGACCAGGATGCCCAGCGAGATGCCAGTGTGACTCCCCTGCCTGCCCACCTCAGGTTCCTGGCCAACACATCCTTCCAGGGCCTCACGGGGCCGGTGTGGGTGACGGCCACCTCCCAGGTGCACATGTCACGGCAGTTCAAGGTGTGGAGCCTGCGCCAGGACCCGCTGGGTGCCCCAGCCTGGGCCACCGTGGGTAGCTGGCGGGATGGACGCCTGGACCTGGACCCAGGCGTGGTGGCCGCGCACCCCCCACCCCCACCAGGCACCCAGGCCCGGTCCAAGCTGCGTGTGGTGACACTGATAGAGCACCCATTCGTGTTCACCCGGGAGCCTGATGAAGAGGGGCAGTGCCCGGCTGGGCATCTGTGCCTGGACCCGGGCACCAACGACTCTGCGACACTGGACACTTTGTTCACCGCCCTGGCCAATGGCTCGGCGCCGCGCACCCTGCGCAAGTGCTGCTACGGCTACTGCATGGACCTGCTGGAGCGGCTGGCCGAGGACGCGCCCTTCG